CAAAAGATGGGGGCGAGGAGGGGAAGCAACAAGGAAGGAGGAAATTGCTTATTGTAAGAGTCTATTAAGTGGCTAATCTGGGGTCACTACGAATATCAAAAGGTGGGGAAGCTGTCTTTGTAATGTGTAAGATAATTATCATCTCAATTAAGGCCCATTCCCAACATGTCAAATTTTAGCATAAACAAAAGTTCTGAGGTCTCCCACTGTAATCTGGTGTTAAAGTCTTTATTGTGAGACACATGTCAGTCAGGTCTTTAAGAGAATGACCAAATTGATTGAAATGCTGGCTGAAGGTTTGTGTGGGTGGAGATTTCTGATGTCTGATCTGTAAGCATTAATTCTTTGGCAAAGTGACTGACCAGTTTGTCCAATATACATTGCAGAGGGGCATTGTTGACACATAACAGCAGATATCACACTGCTGGATGTACAGGAATATGAGCCCTTGATCATATAATTGACATAGTTAGGTCGAGTCGAGGTAGCTATTTGACTGTACAGCTAACTTCCCTCAGCCAGAGCTGTCTGGGTGCTTAGGTGTGAAGCGTTAGGGAAAGGCCGTGGAAGATGGTGGCCCAAGTTCTACTCCCATCTCAGTGTGCAAATGGCAGCAGGTTATGTTCCTGCTTTGTGCCTCAGTTTCCCCATTGCGATACTTACCATCCAAAGTGATTTGTGATCCTTTGAGTAAGATGTTATTTCTTTCTAGTTCAAATACCACAAAGAAAAAAAAACCTCACCTGCACCCTTTGCTACAGAGCACCTGATATCACAGGCGTCCAGTTGCCAGATGTGGGAGCTCAAAATGCCCGCACGGCAGCTGACGTCAGCAGGGCTACTGCCCGTTTGGCTCAGAGGCTCCTCACCTTTTATTTGCTCCGTGAAGGTACATCCCTGCAGATCAGCGGTGCATGCGAGCATCCTGTAATCCGCGGCCTCGTTTAGCGACAACTTAATCAGGTGTGTAGCACTGCAATAACATGGCAGGGGGATTTTGCCTCCTCCCGTGGGAAATGCAGGAAAGAGACATAGGCAGGGAAAATCCCTCTATGTGCATGTGCTGTGGGGAGAACAAGAGCGAGATTGTGGGGGAGAGAGGGGGATGACCGAGGTAACCAGACTCGAGCGCTCAAGGAAATCTGTTCTCTTTCTAGGAGCCTGGTTCTGGTCTCTTTCACAAGTCCAATGGCTTCAGTGGGGTGATCCCTGATTTGCACTGATGTATATGAACCCAGAATCTCCTCCCCTCCACCCCCCGCCCCATGGATATCAGAGCTAGAGGGTCACATCTCCAGTGATGTAAAGAGCCTCTGTTCTACTGAAGTCCATCTCGCTACAAGGACTTGCACTAGCTGAAAACCTGCAACCTGTCTCTGCGGGACAGTGCAAACATGCATCCGCGCTATAAATCTAGGCCGAGGTTGTTGGGTGAGTTATAGGCTCGTTGACCCATAATGGTCCCTTCCTGCTGGAAAATCCATGAATCTATACCAAAGCCTCGCTCTTCAGAATGGCACGATAACTCAGCCCTGAGCCAACGGAGACCCCCTCCATTCAGAGCCTTGTGTCTCTGCAGAATCCCGTGGCAGGACTCTACCCAGGCTCAGCTTGCTCCAGGACAGGGAGCAGGTTAGTGGGTGTGTGGGGTGTAATGTCAGGGTGGAAATCATCAGTTGTCCCCCACACACACACACATAAATGCACACCCAGACACACACACACAAATGCACACACAGATACACACATGCATAAATACACACCCTCCCACCCCACATAAATGCACACCCAGACACATACACAAATACACACACATAAACACACACCCCAACACACACATAAATGCACACCCAGACACACACAAATACATCCCCCACACACACATAAATGCACACACAGACTCACACACACAAATACACCCCCACATACATAAATGCACACACAGACACACACAAATACACCCCCCCAGACACACACATAAATGCACACACAGCCTCACACACACAAATACACCCCCCACATACATAAATGCACACACAGACACACACAAATACACCCCCCACACACACAAATGCACACACAGACACACACAAATACTGTTACAGAAACTAAATGGCCCCTGAGGATGCAAAACAAAAATTGCAAGCCAGCAGGGTTCACAGTGTTCACCAGGCTAACTTGAAGATCCTGGTACACAGACACACACAAATACACCCCACAAACAAATAAATGCACACACAGACACACACACATTCCTCATTACAAATCATCATAATTCTAAAAAGTACCCAATTAAAGGTACATATTTTATCTATGAAACACGACACCCTGCGCGCACGTGCTGCATGAGCCCTGCAGGGAGAGGTCACCAGGGATTTTTAGACAAGATGTTTTTTCATCGGAAAATGCTGGTTTGTTGAGAAGTTTCTCGGGTCCCAGAAGGAACAGCTGGTTGAGAGAGAGACCCGGCCCACTACCCGATTGATAGCAAAGACTCCCATCGGAACCTCTCACATCCCAGGTCAGACCCACTTCCTCAGATCAAATAGTGGAAGAAAAATGTCACAACCATATACACCAAAGGATATATGGTTGTGACAATTTTCTTCCACTATTTGATCTGAGGAAGTGGGTCTGGCCCACGAAAGCTCATCATCTAATAAACCATCTTGTTAGTCTTTAAAGAGCTACATTGTCCTGTCTTTTGTTTCAGCTACACCAGACTAACACGGCTACATTTCTATCACTATCCCACGTCAGTACTTGAACTGCACAGTCAGGGTCTCCCCCACCCCCATCCCCAAGAACATTGCACAGAGTGAAATCCCACCGACAAGGGAAACGGAAACAGCTCCAAACAAGGCACAGCAGGGATCTGAACCAGGGTCTCGCATGCCCCAGGTAAGCACCCTACGCCAATTAGCAATCCTGAGCTGCTTGATTGTGGCTCCCCCACCGCATGTGAAAGGTCAAGCTTTTGTTCCCATGCAGAATGAGCACAAAGGCCCAGTGTTCAAGGTGTGTGTGAGTGAAACAGAATCCTCGTTTTCCCGCCAGCCCTGTCTAGAGGCCTTCCTTCGAGTCTGCACTGGAAGTCGGCTCTTGCTGGCTACAACACACACATTTCGGTTTACGAGGGCAGGGAGAGAGGAATAGGCAAGCAGAGAAGCAGCGTGGTCCAGAGTGCAGGATAAGGGACCGAATGGACATGCACCTCACTGGAATGCTAAACACAACTATAATGCAAATAATAACGAACGCTGAGCCGCATTCGTTATGAACTCACATCACACACCTGCTTGGGCTGCTTCCCTAGTGCAGCAAAAGCCTTTGAATAAAACATTCAGATCTGTTTCAGCCTGGAAGCAAAGCCAATCGACACAGGGTCTGAGGCCAGCCCCACAATCTTGGCTAGAGTGACAGAGAGGTCCATGTGACAGAACCAGACCACTGGATATCGCCATTGCTGATTAGGGATGCAATAGTGTAGCCGGTGAACCAATTAACCGATAAGCAAACACTGATCGATTAATGCTATAGACTACATGCATTTCCTACCCTCACCTGCCACCAGTACATTTTTTAGCAGGCTGGCCAGCAGCCCCGCTCAGTGCTGGCTTGCGATGGGTCCAGGACCTATCCCCGTTGCGGCTCTGCGTTGAAAGTGTATTAGGAGCTGGGTGGGCAGGCAGCCTGGCTCAGTTTCGGCTCATGCTGGGTCTGAGAACTTGGCTCCCCCCTGGACAGGGGCTGCTGCCACTCTGCGCTGTTGCCCCTTTATCAGAGGCAGCAGTGCAGGGCAATAGGCAGCCGGTCCGCGAGGAAAGCTGGTTTTTAAACTTGCTTCTCTCATGGACCAGCTCCCACCTGGCACGCCGTGCTGCTGCTTCTGATACAGAGGCAGCAGCGCAGAGTGATAGGGATCTCTTCGGACGTGAGGCCGGAGTGCACTGGCTGCCGGCCCAGACCCTGGGGACTACAGAATAGTCAGCTAACCAATAAGAATTCATGCGGTTACTCGACTATTCAATTCATCAATATTTAATACCCCTCTTGCTGATAGAGGCTTTCCGGCAGAACTAGTCTCCATTAAGTGAAGTGGATTCTGCTGGCCAATTCACCGTGAAAAAGCAGAATAACTCCATTGACTTCCCTGCAGTCGCTCTGCGGCCCCACTGGGCTATGTGAAAGCAGTCTGGGCTTGGGTGTCTGCTGCTATGGGGCATGTAAGTGATCGGTTAATTAATAGTGAGGTAAACGGTCTCTTCCTCTCCTCTAGTTTGGATCTTGGTTGAAGTGGTGAAATGGGACCGGTTGCCTGTAATTGCTCTGCTCTCTCATAAACTGTTGCATCCCATGCGAGGCTTGTTGACATTTAAATAAGCCGCAGTTCTAGGGAGGAAGTAGATTGCACAGATCCCAGAGGATACGGGTAGAGGACACCTCCAGGAGTGGCTGCGCCATATTTAACACATGCCTGCGCGACTCACGCTACTTTGCACTGAGTATGGCGGGGAGGGGAGGAGACAGTTTCTCGTAAATGAAGGAATACAGCATGTTCCTTGAGCGGTTTCTCTCGCAAACCCTGGGCATCCATGGATCTCAATGGGACTTCGGTGCCTAACTCCCTTCAGTTCCATTGAAAAATCTCAGCCTTTGTTTCCCACCTTTGCTCTCTTCGCCACCCTCCTCCTCCTCTCCCTCTCACCCCTGCCCTCCAGCCTCGTCTCCTTCCCTTGCCAGACAGGGTCCCCCCTCTCCGCTGCTGGTCCCTCCAGCTGGACACGTGCTGCTCCGTGCCCTTTTGTCCATCCCCCCCATGCTGGCTTGTTTGCATCCGTCCCTTCCCCCTGCCCTTGCTAAACCCGCCAGCCTTCTTATTGCCAGAACCCTTCTGGCTGATGGCAGTGGTTACCCTGGTCTCTGTGCCGCCGTGGTTGTTGTGACGGGCGTTGTCATAGAAACCGGAAAGCTCTGTTAGATTTTCTAACCCAGATATTCCGACTAGAGACCATGTCTGGGTGAAAGGCTGCGCAGACCAGCATGTAGGACACTGGACTGGGACGTCTAGGCCCCAGGATCTGTTGTTAGCTCTGCTGTGGTGCCTGGGGAAAATCCCTTCCGATCGACCCGGGCTGTGTAAACATGCCTGCTGCGTTACTCCAATATGCAGAAATATGAGTGATCGTTGCTAAGGACAAACCCACTCCTGGATCTGTGTCTTACACGGGGGCCTTTGCTTTCCTCCTCAACTACCCCACGCTCGCTAAGAGGCCGGGCTTTCCACAGCTTCCTCTCATCTTCTAGAACTAAGGCATGCTGGATTGCTACTCCCTTCTTCTGCCTTCTGGGCGGGATGACCTCTCCTGGGGCGTCTCATTCCTCTCGCACCTCTTCTTCCTGCCCTTCCCGAGTTCCCTTCTCTCCCTCGCTCTTGCCCCTGCCCTCCCTTGCCCAAAAGCTCTGTCCCTTCCTGGGCCCCGTGATGGTGTTTGGGGAAAGCACAGCAGTCACTGAGCGATGTCACAAAGACCTGGGCAGCTGCCTGCAGCTGGTGAGAAAGGAGGCATCAGCGGGGCCGGCCTGTGCAGTGAAAGAAGCAGCTGACAGTAGCGCTAAGGGAAGGGGTGGGGAGACCATAACTTGCCTCATCCTGTTGCTGTTATTGCCTTGGACGGGTTCAATGTGTCTTACAGATGACTTGGAAGAAGATGAGCAGAGCTGAGGTCTCCCACCAGTCCCCATAGAGCCCTCCCCAGCCACTGCCTGTGATCAGACAGCAGCTAGATCCGCCCGTCGCACGGCTACCGGCATGTGGCCGGTGCTGCTGACTCCTTTCCGCCTGATCACCGTGCTCCTGCTCTTCAGGGCCCCCACGGCTGAAGTCTTTGTTTACGTGGTCTACAAGCAGAACTCCACCTGCATTGATTTTAGAGCGCTGTCTGCGTGCCTGGGGCCGCCTGTCCCCAGAGAGGGCCTGAGGGGTTATCTGATTGAGGCGGTACCTGCAAACGCCTGTCAACCGATCAGAGGCCCGCCAGCAGGCAGCAACGCCTCGGCCACCTTCATCGTGCTCATAAGCAGGTATGACTGTCCCCTGGGGGTGAAAATCCTTCATGCTCAACAAGCGGGCTACCAAGCTGCTATTGTCCACAACGTGAACTCAGAGAAGCTGGTGACAATGGTGACTAACGTGGAGGAGATCAGGCAGAAGGTTGGAATTCCTTCTGTCTTTACGGGGCAATCCGCCTCCCAGCTGCTACGGAAGGCGATGGGCTCTGAAAAACGCATTCACGTCACTCTGGTGGTACCCGAACACTATCAGAATCCCTGCTGGGCCGATGCAAAGTTCTCCCTCGGCGATGCGGCTAGGCATTACTGGACCCTCCAGTTTGGATATTGCTCCAAACACGTGATTTCTCTTTTCATCCGGGAGTTTGGCATGGCCATTGGCATGATCGTGTGCACCCTGCTGGTGGTGGGCTGCATCAGATGGTGCAAGAAGAGGCAGAAGATAACCACGAGCACATTCAAAATGGGAGACAAGTATGTTACGTGCGTGATCTGCATGGCCGAGTATGAAGAAGGGGACCAGCTGAAGATTCTCCCTTGTTCTCATGTCTATCATGTGACCTGCATAGACTCGTGGCTCCTCGTCCAGTCCCAGTGTAAGACCTGTCCGATTTGCAAACAGCAGGTGACTATTGCAAAATAGGCCTCTGGTGCATCAAAATGTCCCTTTGCAAGTGTAAAGCGTTCCAGAGGAGGGAAAATAAAATGAGTTTGAGCTCACAGTGGCTGGGATTCTGGTGTACAACCACACACACACTGTACACACACACACACTGTACACACACACACAGTACATACACACACACACACACTGTACACACACACACAGTACATACACACACACACACACTATACACATATACACAGTGAAACCTGTTTGGCACAGTGCCCATGGGGCCAGGGGCCAGTACCAACCAGTAAAGGTGATTCTTTGATTATCGACAGGGCCAACAAAACCCTATTGGACCCCTGGGGCTACTTTAAAGGGGAGTTTGGCAATGGGTTGCCCACTGCAGCTCTTGGAGAGTGTGAGAGGACCCAGCACCAGCTGAATTCAATGGGTAGCAGAGACCCTCCGGATTTTGGCCTGCAGCTTGTTTAGTCTGCAGAAGAGAAGAGTGAGGAGGGATTTGATAGCAGCCTTTAACTTCCAGAAGGGGGTCCTATAGAGCATGGCGAGAGGCTGTTCTCAGTAGTGACCGATGGCAGAACAACAAGCAATGGTCTCAAGTTACAGTGGGGGAGGTCAAGGTTGGATATTAGGAAAAATGATTTCACTAGGAGGGTGGGGAAGCACTGGGATGGGTTCCCTAGGGAGGTGGTGGAATCTCCATCCCTAGAAGTTTTTAAGTCCCAGCTTGACAAAGCCCTGGCTGGGATGGCTTAGTTGGGGTTGGTCCTGCTTTGGGCAGGGGGCTGGACTCGATGACTCCTGAGATCTCTTCCAGCTCTCAGATTCTGGGGGGGGGGGGAATCCACCTCCAAGCTGCTAAGGAAGGTGATGGGCTCTGAAAAATGTATTCACGTCACGCAGCACCCATTGTGACCCCAGAAGCCTGAATTTCAGAAGAGCTCATTCCGCTGCCAGCACGAATCCAGCGCACTGAGCACACGGAACTCCTGGCCACTTGTTTTGGTCTGTGAAATGGACCCTCCGTGCCTTTGCTCATGTGCCCAATAGCACAGCGCAGGTTGTGCTCTGTGTGGGTGCACAGAGGGATGTAATTTCAGGTTCTGCTGGCTATTATTTTGAATGATGCTTTACCCGTTTCGATTATTTATTTCCATTATCTCATGACAAAACACTCTGGCCTTGTAGCTCTCCATGCTTTGCCGTCCATCAGCTGATCACACTCATGAAAAGAAAAAGGTGGGGGGGGGGCGTTGTTTTTAAAGCAGGAAGCAAGTTCAGTCCACCAACCCAGGCTGGTATCTCCCACCCCACAGAGGAGAGGAAGATCCTCTCCAATCATTTCTGCTGTGCAGTGATCTCCAGACAGCACGTCCCTGCCCACGGTGAAGAATTGCAGTTTGCAGTGGGAGGACAGTCAAAAGAAGGGGCATTAATCCTTCTGAAGGATGTGAGCAACTCCCACTGAGTGCAGCAGGCCATCCTGTTGACCTACCCCCGGTTAGACTGGGGCAGAACTGGGCCGAGATGGAACAGTGGCAGATTGGTGGGAACGAGGGTGCAAAAATGGAAGTGACATTTCAGGGAGACAGCCCCGGGAAAGTGCAGCAGTCACAGGGTGATGTCACAAAGCCTGGGGAGGTGGGTAGGAAAGGTTGCCTAGCAGCGAGAGACAATGGGGGGCGGGGGTGATGCCCTGGGAATCAGCAGACCAGCCTGGTGATTTAAGGAAGCCTTTTCCACAAGCGTCCAAGGACCAGTCACAATCCTGCTGCTGCTGCTGCTGTCTTCAGCACAGACTCCAGGCATGTTGTGTTGATACCACTGCGAGGGGCTGCGAAGTGTGTGTTTGCTGCTGAGGATCCTTCACACGGACTCCTTCCCTAGTGTCACAGCCTGGCCCTGGCACAGCGAGATTCCCGCCCACGGTCGACATGAGGCCTCCGCTCTGTCTTCCTCTCCGGGCGGTCACCGCGCTCCTGCTCGTCGACGTGGCTGTGGCAGAAGCCTTCGGCCATGTGGTTTACAACCACGGCGCCACCTGCGTCGGTTTCAACGCCCTGCCAGCATGCTTCGGACCGCCCCTCCCGACCGAAGGGCTGGTGGGCTATTTGATCGAGGCCACGCCAGCAAATGCCTGTCACCCTATAGCAGGCCCGCCGGCCTCCTCCAACTCCTCAGAGGCCTTCATCGTGCTCATCCGCAGGTCGGACTGCCCCTTTGGCGTCAAGGTCCTTCACGCGCAGCAAGCCGGGTTCCAGGCCGCCATCGTGCACAACGTGAATGCAGAGCATCTGGTGAACATGGCAAGCGATGACGAAGCAATCCGGCAGCAGATTGCGATCCAGTCTGTCTTCACCGGAGAATCAGCCCGCAAGCACCTGAGGAGGGCTTCCCCTTATGAAAAGGGGGCATACGTCACCCTCATGGCACCGAAACGGCCTCATAGCTCCTGCCAGGATGCTGCTACACCCTCTGTGTGGGACATGGCGAAGCTCTTCTGGCCACAGGTGCTGAAATATTCCACGAACCACCTCATTCCTTACCTCCTCCAGGAGTTTGGGTTCATGCTCAACGTGCTCATTTGCACCATCCCGCTGGTGGCGTGCGCCCGCTGGTGCACGAAGGGCCAGCAGATAACCGTGTGCACCTTCAAAAGGGGAGACAGGTACGACACCTGCGTGATCTGCATGGCCGAGTACGAAGAAGGAGACCAGCTGAAGGTCCTCCCCTGTTCTCACACCTATCACTGCGCCTGTATCGACACCTGGCTTCACACCCAGCCCAGGAACAAAACCTGCCCTTTCTGCAAGCAGCAGGTGACCACTGAGGCTCAGGCTGTCAATGTGGGCAGAGGGAGAACCCCCCAGGAGCACACCGGCAGAGAGGAGGACCATGCTGGGGAAGGGGACGATGAAGAGGGGCATGATGATGAGTCTGTCGAGGGAGAGGAAGAAGAGGACCAAAGTGCAGACACTGAGGAAGGGTAGGATGAGCTGGAGAGGGACCCTCACTGAGTAATAGGATCAAGCCAAACCAGTATAAGTCCAAGCCACAAACCCCCCAGTTTTTGTCCATAACTAGCTCCAGTTTCTAGCTCCATTCATGTTTGGCTCCTTTCACCCCCGAAAAGAAAAGGCATAAAACATCTGTGGCAAATGTAACTCTCCATAGGCTGGGGAAAAAGAAATGCATTTGAGATCATTAAATTCCTGGGAATTTCTAGCCTCCATCCATTCCCATTTCCTATCGCTTTTGTCTAAGTGACATATACACATTCAAGGTGTGTCTAGACTACACGCCTCTGTCATCAGAGGCATGTAGATTAGACACATAGGCAAAGTCAAATGAAGCCGCGATTTAAATGATCGCGGCTTCATTTAAATTTACATGGCTTCATTTAAATTTACTTGCACCCAGCGCGCTAGTCTGGACGCTCCCCTGCCGACATCAAAGCCCTTTGTCGGCAGCCCCCCCACACCCCATCCCACGGGGAATAACGGGGGTGCCGACAAAGCGCCTTGCAGTCGGGAGGGGGGCGGATACCGGGGCTGCCGACAAAGGGCTTTGATGTCGGCAGGGGAGCGTCCAGACTAGTGCGCTGAGCGGACAAACAGCTGATCAGCTGTTTGTCGGCTCAGCGCGACAGCCATGTAAATTTAAATGAAGCCACGATCATTTAAATCGCGGCTTCATTTGCCTTTGCCTATGTGTCTAATCTACATGCCTCTGATGACAGAGGCATGTAGTCTAGACACACCCTCAGCTAGCGACAGCAAAACCTTCGTTTAACAAATTATGCTGCATCCAGATGACAGTGTTTTCGAAAAAACTGCCCTTTTTTTGAAAAAACGTCTCCTGCGTCCACACTGCCATTGCGTTCTTTTGAAATTAAATAGAAAGAACACGGGAGGGGGGGTTCGACAATGGTAACCCTCCAATTACGAGGAAGAACGCCTTTCTCGAAAGAGCTCTTTTGGAAAAAGGCGTGTGTGGATGCAGACCCGGGACATTTTTCGAAAGACGAGGCAATTGAAAAAAGCACAGGTACCCTGGTGGCTGTGCTGTGCATAGCAATCGGGGCTTTCTTTTGAGAGAGCGGCCATGCTGTCTGGATGCTCCCTTTTGAAAAGCAGGTCATTTTTTCAATCCAGTTTTGAGTTGTGGATGCTCTCTTTGGAAAGAAGCTTCCAGTCTAGACGTACCCTGTGTGGTTCACTGATCAATGCAGTGGCACCTAGACCACTTACAGCAACAAATAAGAACAAGAGACCTCTACATCTTAGACTGAGCCAGCTGGCTTTTAGCTCCAACAGCAGAGGCCCCTACACCAAGCTCCAGAGATCCCAGGTTCAAATCCGCTAGTCCCATTTTGCAGGATGCTGTGCAAACATAGCAAGTCATTCCCTGTCGTGGCTATTTCACTAGGAGGGCCATCATGCACTGGAAGGGGTTAACCAGGAAAGTGGTAGAATCTCTAGCTAGAGGTTTTTAAGGGCAGATTTGACAAAGCCCTGACTTGGGACTGCACCAGATGACTTCCTGAGGTCTCATCCAACCCTCATCTTCTATGATAAACTCCAACCAGGAAACAGACACACCGGTGGTTGACATGACTAACCCAGAGCCACAGCCAAACAGGGACTAGAACCCAGCTCTCTCTAGACCAGTGGTCTGCTCCCTGAGCTTGTGCTGCCCCACTTGACCTACCCTTTGGTAGCAGCTCAAGAGCCCGGTGACAATTCCTGGCCAAGCAAAGGTTAGTCTTTAGCTACAGGTGCAGGAAACATGTACGAGGGTCCTCCAAGGATGCCTTCACGGGGTCCCTTCAGATGGGGGAGAGCGGGGGGAGGAGTGATGATTGAAGATGCAAATCATTCAAGTACGTGTCACTCCAGGCAGGTGAGCAGATAGAAAAGATACGAAACGTTTCCAAGGGCTGTGTACTTGGCTGCATTTTGAGGGCTGGTTGATGACTCCATGCACTCAGCAGAAGCAGACATGACAGGTACATGTAACCTCCTGCTCCCCAGGGGTTTCCAGGTCATTTCCCAAGCTTTCTAAATGCTGTAAGAAGGGCTGGATTTATGTACTAACATGACCCAAATCAGATCTTCATCTTCTCTCTCTCTATTGGTTACAGGGAGAGTGATTTGGTCATTTTGGAGAGCGTCTGATTGCATCTCCAGCTCTGTTTGAAAAGTGAGAGTCAGAGCCACAGACTACGATCCTGCTCATAGTCAATTAATACCTAATGGGCTTATGTTGCAGAGATACACTCTGGATCATCCTCAGCCCTCCATCTCATGCTAAAAAATAAAGCATCAAAACTCGTTAACATTGAACACCCTTCATTCATATCTCCTTCTTGAGGTGTTTTAGCATGTTTTTATGTCCCACTTTGGGGTCTTGTATTTTACTTTATACATTTATTTATTGTGTTTTTACAAAAATTTATGAGCTGCTGCGAATAGTTTAAATAGAGAAGCAGGGTAAAAATATTTAAAATAAATAAATATCGTGACCGAGAGATCAACAGACATCGGTACCAAGGGCTTTTCACTGAGTGTGAACATCCCGCTACCAATTGTCAGGGTTCAGATCAACCAATTGTTTTCATTGCAAGTGGGAGGAAATGTTGAAATACTAAAGTTTTTCCTGGAATGGGAGTTCTGAAAAATTTCCATTTGGAAAACGCTGAAAGTTTTCGTTTCAACATTTTGTTTGAAATAAAACTTTTAAATGTTTTCCTGAAACATAAATGTTTTATTTTGGGGCTTTGAACGGACCCAAAATGATTCAAGAGTGACAGGAAGAGTTGGGGTCTCCACTCTGTGTGTTATCAATGATTAACACACTGTAAATCCAAAGCACCTGACACAGCCGGCTTGACCTCCTTGGCTGTAGCTGATGCTGTCTGATCTGCTACCCTCCACCACACATTAATAACCATCCAGGATGGCTTATTGATGGGGCAGGACACGCTCCTATTTGCCACAGGTTGCTTATTAGTAACTTCTCTAGAGATGGCTTTCTCCAAGTTACATCCGGTAGGTCGGACAAACTGTCGCGCAACTGCACAAAGAAATGCGCCAGCGAGAAACACAAAGAAGCGAGACTGTCAGCTGGGCTGAATCAATGACACTCCTTGGACCTCCAGAGAACTGCGCAGATTTACCCTGGCTCAGAGTGTGACAATGAAACTGAGTTTAAGTTAAAATTCTGGGTCCAAAGCAAAGTTGGGGAGAGCCGGGGGGCTAGACAAGGAGGAGCTGGAAAAGGGGAAGCAAGGCTCATGCGTAGAGGACAGGGCCCAGGCTGCTATCTGACAGCAGCTTCTGACTGTGTCCTCCCCTCCTTTCCTCTGGGGCCCGTGCCATCTGCAGCGCTGGTTTAATTGCTGTTAATTTAAATGTCAGCAAGCTACACAGGGGAGCCAGCGGTGATAACTGTGAGCAGAGCAATTACCAGGAAGGAGTCCCCATTTCACCACTTGAACTGAGAGCCGAAGAAGAGGCCTGTGTGTGTGTTTTGTGTGCATATCACATCGCTTGTAGTTTTACCAGACTCTGACCCACCGAGGGAAAGGCTGACGACTGGACCCAGTGCAGAGAACTATCATGCTGAGACAAGCCATGGCATGTCAGCACTGTGGATCTGTGGGAGCAAGTAAGGCTACATGCAGGGTAACCATGCGTCTAAATGCAACCTGTCAGCAAGGATGAAACTCGCCCCCGTGCAAAGAGCCAGCCCAGGAGAGGAACTGCTCAGAGGGCTTCAGCAACATCAGTGCTGGGTAGGTCTCATGATGGCTGATGCACGGAGTGCGTTTCAGCCTGGGAGATGGACACGGGACATCTACGGCCAGGAACAGGGATGTGCCAGAACTCCATTGACTTCAGTGGAACTAGTCCAGCAGAGAATTTTGCCTTCCAGCCTTACTAGCCATCTGGGGAAGGAAAGAATCAGGGTGGGCAATGGAACCAGTGTTGCCTCCTCTTCCAAAGGCTGTTTGGAGTGTGGGGTCCCTCTTACAATACGGGGATTTTTGCCACATTCCCATCCAACATCCTGCAGCGCGGGATTTAGCTCCTTGAGCCCAGTCCTGTTGATGTCAATGAGAGCATGGCTGGTGTAATTTCGTGCATGGAAGCAATTGCAAACAGGATGCAATCCATCCCAGCGGCTGATTGGCCTCTTCTGGCTGCATCCTTCCTACGCCCTCTCAGCTCACTGGTTAGTAGACATGGTCAGCACACAGAGCTTCTACCCCTGGAAACTTTCTGAGATTGCAATCTTTTTTTGCCCCACATCATGGGGGCACACCAAAAAATTTGAATTGTTTTGGCCAAACAAAATTCCAAATATAATTGCACGTGGGGTCAAAGAAAGCATTTCATTTTGCTAAGTCTGAAATAGTTCATGTTCATTGCAATCTTTTGTTTATTTATCAATGAAACAAAGGAAGTTTCGGTGCAAAGAAAAATGAAACATTTTGTTTTGAAAATCATAGAATCATAGAACTGGAAGGGACCTTGAGAGGTCATTGAGTCCAGCCCCCTGTCCTCACGGCAGGGCCCAGTACATTCTAGATCATCCCTGACAGATGTCTATCTAACCTGCTCTTAAATATCTCCAGAGATGGAGATTCCACAACCTCTTTGGGCAATTTATTCCAGTGTTTAACCACCCTGACAGTTAGGAAGTTTTTCCTAATGTCCAACCTAAACCTCCCTTGCTGCAGTTTAAGCTCATTGTTAAAAACAAGACAGTTGGATAGTGTTGGGACTTTTTTCCATTTTTTTTCCAAAATGTAAATGTAGTCAAAATGTATATTGTTTCTCTTTCTGACCCTCTCCTCTGCCTCTTCACACTCAGCACCTCTCCCTCTCTCTCTCTGCTCTCAAAGCAGTTTTTAATGCATTGTGACAAATCAAGTTATGCCAAGGTGTCTTTGCACTCATGAATGTGTGGTACAGCTAAGCCAGGCATCTAGTTCTCTGGGGTAATCTGGAAAGTACAAGTTGTTATTACTCACTACAGTAGAACAATCAACACCGTTTCCGTAATGCAGTAAGATGGATTGAAGCTGCTTAAGAACACAGGGAAATGGAATCCGGGCTTGGAAAATAAAATAGTTTGGCTCACAAAACCTAGCTTATGTGTGGGCCTGGATACCACTCTGATGTGCCGCAGGGCATTTGCTGTAGCATTGTTAATCCGGCTGGATGATCCCAAGTCCACTCTATGGGCCAAGCCCTGCTCTCATGTACATGGGTGTAAAGCCAAAATAATTCCACTGAAGTCCAGGGACTGTCCATAAATTATATATCTTTTTTTTTTTTCTGATTTTCAAGACCCACCCACCCCTGGCAACACTTTGTAACACTAAAAAAAAGGCAAAATTAAGGAGCCTGATGCGTTTTGTAATTTATGGACGGGCAACATTATTTTTTATTTATGCCAGTGTAACTGGGAGCAGGATTTGGCCAAACAATTGCATTGCGTCTAGACTGGCATGATTTTGCAGAAATACTTTTAATGGAAAAGTTTTTCCGTTAATAGTATTTCCGCAAAAGAGCATCTAGATTGGCATGGATGCTTTTGCGCAAAAGCATCCGTGCCCAGTAAAGACGCACTTTTGCGCAAGAAAGCTCCAATGGCCATTTTAGCCATCGGGCTTTCTTGCGCAAAAAATTATGGTGCCCGTCTACACTGGCCCTCTTGCGCAAGAGGGCTTATCCCTGAGCGGGAGCGTCAAAGTATTTGCGCAAGAAGCACTGAAATCTTACGTTAGAACGTCAGTGCTCTTGGGCAAAGTCAAGCGGCCAGTGTAGACAGCAGGCAAATTTTTGCGCAAAAGTGGCCGCTTTTGTGCAAAATCTTGCCAGTCTAGATGCACCCTTGGAGTTATAAATCCTACTGATCACTTTTCTCCAAGGATAATACCTTCTTCTTACTTTGGCGATGTCTAGACTGTAGGCTTCTTTCGGAAGAAGCTTTTCCGGAAGAGATCGTCCGAAAAAAACTTCCGAAAAAGCGCATCCACACTGCCAAAGCGCATCGAAAAAGCTTTTTCAGCAGACAGCATCCACAGTGAGTGGACCAGAGTTGTTGACTCGAGTCCCATGACTTGAATTCCTAGGTGATTCGACTTGAGACTCGACTCGGGATCATTGTTTGTGACTTGAGACTCGACTCGAGACTTGCTAATTTTGTTAATTCGACTTGGTGAAAAAAATTGTCTGAAAATTATGATATTGATGGCTTGTACAAAAGTGAATTGACATTTTTTTAAATTAAGACTTGAGACTCGACTTGGGACTTGACTTGAAAGTGACTTTAGGGACTCGAGACTCGATTTGAGACTTGAATTGTAGTGACTTGAGACTCGACTTGGACTTGACAATGACGACTTGAAGACAACACTGGAATGGACGCTCTCTCGCATGTAAGCTGTGATTACTAAGGAGGGAGTGGCCGCTGGGGCACCTGTGCTTATTCCTCTTTCCTCTTCTTCCGAAAGAACTCCCTCTTCCCCGTCCACACATGCCTGTTTGTGACAGAGCTCTTTTGGAAAAAGGCTTCTTCCTCCTAGAAAGAGGTTTACCAATGTTGGAAAAACCCCTCAGGTCTTTCGATTTTTTTTTCCAAAAGAACACAATTTCGATGAGGACATAAGTGACTTTTTTTGAAAAAAAACCCACAATTTTTCCAGGAAAAAACTCTATAGTGTAGACATACCCTTTGTGTCTTAACTTTGTACTGGCATAGTCCTGCTGCTCAGGACTTAAGAGCTGCATGTATTCTGCAAACCGGCATCCAAGTATTCCAGTTCTGTTTGCAGTGGTGACCTGGGCCAATAGTAAATCTAAACAACTTTGAGCTACTTAGTCTCAACTAACTACAAGGACTGATTCTACACTCACCTTAAACAGTGAGGATTAGTTATTAAGCCACCTCTTCCCACCCCCTCTCTAGTGCTAGCCATGAGTGCCTCTCAAATCATTTTTCATGCATTTATCCTCACAACACCCCATGAGGTAGCTTCCTATTCCTGGCTCACCCCTTATCTCGCTGCACGGTACCAAGCAAGTCAAAACTTCTCTCTGAACCTCAGCTTCCCCTCCTACTTTTTCCTATTTAGATTGCAAACTTTTCAGGGCAAGGGCTATTGCCCTTGTATGTACCGCACCTAGCACAATGGGCCCTGATCTTGGTTGGGGCCCTGTAGATGCTACTGTGATACAAATAATAAATAGCGACAAGTCATCCCCTGTGACTTTCCTTGGACCTAGGTAAGTGGCATGGATGGAAATGATCCTGAGGAAAACAGATGTTCCGAGCCAACAGATCCTGCATAAATGGAGCAGGGAATTACCTCCAGCTTTCTGCAGTATACAGTGAGCTGGGATGACCCAAACAGATTCCCCTGTTCCCTCTGCAGAGGATTCCCACTAGACATGCTTCTGGCCCTGTTGAAGATTGGGAACTTATCTAAGTAGAGTATGTCTACATTACAGAATTTTGTCCGGAAAACTTGAGGAATGTCCACATTGCAATCACTTTCTTCCACAAGAAAACTGAAAGAACTGAGGGGTTTTTCCTACATTGGCCACCTCATTCTACGAGGAAGAAGGCTTTTTCCAAAACAGCTCTTTCGCAAAAAGTTGTGTGTGGATGGGGAAGAGGGAGTTCTTCTGGAAGAAGAGGAAAGAGGAAAAAGCACAGGTGCCCTGGTGGCCATTCTGTCCGTAGCAATCACAGCTTACTTGCGAGAGAGAGTCCATTCAGTGTGGATACTCTCTTTCAAAAAAGCAGATCACTTTTTCGGTGCACTTTCGCAGTGTGGACACTCTCTTTTCGAAGAAGTTTTTTTGGAAGATCTCTTCTGAAAAAAGCTTCTTCCAAAAGAAGCCTGCAGTCTAGACGAACAGCATGGGAAGGGCGAGGGCTGGGGTGGACTTGGGAAGACAAAGACAGGTTGGTTACATCAGTGAAGCGGTGATGGAAACCAGGCCAGGTGAGATGTCCATTCTACTGCACTAAGCCATAGCAGGCACGGGTCGTGCTGCAATCCTAGAATCATAGAATACTAGGACTGGAAGGGACCTCGAGAGGTCATCGAGTCCAGTCCCCTGCCCTCATGGCAGGACCCAATACTGTCTAGACCATCCCTGATACACATTTATCTAACCTGCTCTTAAATATCTCCAGAGATGGGAACTCCACAACCTCCCTGGGCAATTTATTCCAGTGTTTGACCACCCTGACAGTTAGGAACTTTTTCCTAATGTCCAACCTAAACCTCCCTTGCTGCAGTTTAAGCCCATTGCTTCTTGTTCTATCCTCAGAGGCCAAGATGAACAAGTTTTCTCCCTCTTCCTTATGACACCCTTTTAGATACCTGAAAACTGCTATCATGTCCCCCCTCAATCTTCTCTTTTCTAAACTAAACAAACCCAATTCCCCAATTCTTTCAGCCTTCCTTCATAGGTCATGTTCTCTAGACCTTTAATCATTCTTGTTGCTCTTCTCTAGACCCTCTCCAATTTCTCCACATCCTTCTTGAAATGCGGTGTCCAGAACTGGACACAATACTCCAACTGAGGCCTAATCAGTGCAGAGTAGAGCAAAAGAATGACTTCTCGTGTCTTGTTCACAACACACCTGTTAATGCATACCAGAATCATGTTTGCTTTTTCTGCAACAGCATCACACTGTTGACTCATATTTAGCTTGTGGTCCACTATTGCCGCTAGATCCCTTTCTGCCGTACGCCTTCTTAGACAGTTGCTTCCCATTCTGTATGTGAGAAACTGATCGTTCCTTTCTAAGTAGAGCACTTTACATTTGTCTTTATTAAACTTCATCCTGTTTACCTCAGACCATTTCTCCAATTTGTCCAGATCATTTTGAAAATAATTCTATCCTCCAGAGCAGTCGCAACCCCCCCAGGGAGATAGCTCTTTATTTGTATTATCTTACATTGTTCTTTGCTCAGCCTCCAGCTCAGATATATCTAAAAGTGGTAAATCTTCAAACTCTGCCACACAGATTATTCTATACATTAATGGTACAGAAAGCATACAGTCCTAGTGACCCTGACACACTATATACAAACACTGGGTCTTGAGCAATCAGCTGCTATATGGGATGGCTGTGCTTCTGTCTGATCTAGTCTCAGGTGCTTCTATTGGATCGAGTGGAACATGTGCAAGTTAAGATCATAAAGCCTACTTGATACGTGGCCGGGGGTAGGTATATCACCATGCCACAGCTGTGGTGCGAAGGATGAGGCCAAAGGGCCTGCAGAGAGCCAGCCCTGTGCCGGGAAGGAAAGCTGCCATTCATCTGCTCAGTTTCTGGCAGAGATTTGGTGGTATTCGTGTGCCTCTCCTCAGGAACAGACTGGAAGCCAGGGAAGCAGGGCTCTGTTTTGGGACCGGCTCTGTTCAATATCTTCATCAACGATGAAGCAATAGGGGAGGATGACCAGGGCAGATCGGAAGCAGAGGGTTAAGGAGAGACCCAGAGGGGAGACAGGGCAAAGTGGGAGGCCACATCTGGTGAGGACACATCTGGAGTATTGCATCCAGTTCTGGGCGCCCCACTATAGAAAGGATGTGGACGCAATGGAGAGGGTCCAGCGGAGGGCAACCGAAATGATTAGGAGCTGGAGCACATGACCTATGAGGAGAGGCTGAGGGATTTAGGCTTATTTAGTCTGCAGAAGCGAAGAGTGAGGGGGGAATTTGATAGCAGCCTTCAACTTCCTGAAGGGAGGTTCCAAAGAGGATGGAGAGAGGCTGTTCTCAGTAGTGACGGATGGCAGAACAAGGAGCAATGGGCTCAAGTTACAGTGGGGGAGGTCCAGGCTGGATATTAGGAAAAACTATTTCACTAGAAGGGTGATGACGTACTGGAATGGGTTCCCTAGGGATGTGGTGCAATCTCCATACCTAGAGGTTTTTAAGTCTTGGCTTGACAAATCCCTGGCTGGGTTGATTTAGTTGGGATTGGTCCTGCTTTGGGCAGAGGGCTGGACTTGATGATGTCCTGAGGCCCCTTCCAGTTCTATGATTCAATGAAAAGCCAGGGCAGGGCAGCCCCTGCATTAGAGACAGTGCAGGAGAGAGAGCTAAGGGTGATCCATGGAGACAGGAGAACCAGAGACACAAAGGTAGGGATGGACCCAAGAACGGGAAAGAGAAAGTTACTGAAAGAGACAGAAACTCAAGCGGGGAGGGCAGACAAAGGCAGTGAGCGGAGGGGGCAGCAGGCAAAGGTGGAGAGTCACCAGGAAGAGAGAAAGGAGAAATGTCCACGCCTGCAGGCCAGCTGGGCAGTGAGGTCACAAGGCCTTGGGGAGAAGGTTCTGGAAGGTTGCTCGGCAGCTGGACACAGAAGCGAAGAATCAGTTGGGCGCAAACAGACCAGCTTGACAAACCACGGAAGCTGCAACCAGAACTTTGAAGGCTTGAGTCTAAGTCAGCCCCTACCTCTTGTCCAGTCCAGCAGCTCTCACTGCCCAGGAAGGCTCCGTCTGTTCCGACCCATGGCAAATCCAGCAGTCACCTTCGACCTGCTGCTCCCCATAAAGGCCTCTGAAGCCAGAGCTTCCTCTTAGACAAGCCCCACTCTAGAGCTCTCCATCGGCTGTCAGCATGTGGTCGCTGCTCCAGTCTCCTTTCCACGTGGCCTCGGTATTCCTGCTTTTCCTGGTGCCCGGCAGCAAAGGCTTTATCCGCGCAATTTACAGCCGTAACGCCACCCGCCAAGATTTCAGTGCTCTCCCCGCTCTCTTTGGGCCGCCGCTCCCCTGCAAGGGACTGATGGGTTATCTGCTCAAGGTGATGCCTGCAAAGGTGTGCTACCATTGCGACGGCCCGCCGGCACCCAGCAACTCCTCCACTGCCTTCGTCGCGCTCCTCCACCACTACGACTGCATGTTTAGTGCCAAGGTCCTGCACGCTCAGCCCACCAGGGACCCAGTGCACCGCGCCAACTCACAAGCTCTGGTGGAAGCGATTCGGCAGCCGGTCGACAGACAGTTGGTCTTCACTGGGGAAGCAGCCTCCCAGCTCCTGAGAAAGGTTTGCCGCTCTGACGAAGGCGGTCACGTCATCCTGGTCCCTGAGCACTACCGTGTTGCCTGGAAGGAGGATGCTAAAAGCTCCTGCCCCCGTGCTTGCAGGTGCCGGCTACAGCTGCTGGGACATTGCTCCCACATCCCGATTCTTCTGATCTGCAGGGCAATTAGCATCCTTGTTGCCATCGTGACAGGCACCCTGCTCGTTGTGAAGTATGCAATGGGGTATCACCAGTGGAGGAGAAGGAGGCGGAGAAGGAGGAGGAGAAACCTGCTAAGAGAGGAGCCCGGGAAGGAGTCCTCCACCAGCATGTTTAACAGAGGTGCCAAGTACACAGAATGTGCCATCTGCCTGGAGGTGTATGAAAAAGGAGACAGGCTGAAAATTCTGTCTTGCTCCCATGCCTATCACAGCAAATGCATTGACCTCTGGCTCTTAACCCAGACCAGGAATAAGACCTGCCCTCTGTGCATGCAGAGGGTGACTGTGGCAGCAGAAAGCCCCGAGTTTGACCTAGAGGGACGTATAGCGGAGGAAAGGAATGAGGACAACCAAGAGGCTGAGGAAGATGTGTACAACGGGGAGCGGCAGTAATCGAACCACTCTTGGGACGGCCAAACCAAAACCGACTAACATAATTCTGCCAATTCAGACTCCCCCACACTCTCAGCTTCCTCTCCCTTCCCCCCCTCAGCTCTAGTTTATTGGGCCCACCGAGAGGAAAAAGGAAGAGCAGAGATGGCAGGCGGTGATGAGCCGTGGAAGACCAAATGCACGTCCTTTGCTCTGCTTATCTTGGGCAGCCAATGAAATCCAAGTTCGTTTTTGGAAGGGGAGGCCCCACTGAAATCAGCTGGAGTCGCCCCCATCTGGCTACCAGAACACCCAGCAGTGGCATGAGGAAGAGCAGTCTGAAACCACCAGCAGACCCTCTGCGTTGCCTCAGGTTCTCCCTCACAACCACCTTTCTGCACGTACCTCCTGCTCTGCCGATTGTTTATTCCACACAGATTTCTCTGGGCAGTTTCTAGCTCTGGTTTTGGAACCCGCTTTCAAGATATACAAACTTTTTTAGCTGGGGGGAGATAAAATGAACCAGAAATCACCCCATTCCCATGAACATCTCTGTTTAGCACACTCCCATCTCCTGCTGCAGCTCCTCCAAGGGGCCAAAGATCTACTCACAGCTAACAGTGAGGATAATAAATAATAAACAACAACAGCTGTGTTTGTTAATATTAATGAGGCTTTGCATTCTGGGAGTGATCACGGTAGCCATTACCGGAGTGCTTTTCAACCATAGCTGTCACAGGACTGAACCTAGAAAGTTCAATGGCCTCATTGTAGCTGTGGGGAAACAGGCACAGAGACAGGAAGTGATGTGTTCGGTTCCTCTGTCTCCCCCGGTGCCTCTGTCATTCTTTCTTTTAACCCTTCATTGGCCCAAACTCTCTGCTGTTGTAAATCAGGGTGGCACCATTGACTTTATTGGAGCAACCTCGATTTCCACCATCTGAGAACAGCATCTATGCAGTTTATATATTTCACCTGGCCTCTGTCTATAGACCACAAGCTTGGGAAGAAGCCAGTCCATCTGACCTGGAATCCTGCTTGATTTTGATAAGTAGCTATGTTACCATCCCTCCACAGAATACTTACGAGGATAGACAGACCGACTAGGCTGTCATGCAGCCAGCTTGTCGTTAGTGGTCACGGGTCTTTCTTTAAAGTGAATAATATTTGATCTTTAAACACGAGTCTTGTTTAAAGTGAAAGTGCTTTGAATCCCCACTGTGCACAAAGTGATTTAATAGACCTCTTTAAATGATCAGGCCTCATCATCTTTCTGTTTCCATTATATATTTTTTCCTTCAAAGATCTTACAATATCAAAATAAAGGACTAGGTAGCACTTTAAAGACTAACAAGATGGTTTATTAGATTATGAGCTTTCGTGGGCCAGACCCACTTCCTTAGATCAAATAGTGGAAGAAAATAGTCACAACCATACATACCAAAGGATACAATTTTAAAAAATGAACACATATGAAAAGGACAAATACATAGTCCTGTATTTTGTTTCAGCTACCCTAGACTAACACGGCTACATTTCTATCACTATTTTACAATATCAATCTTCCACCTTCTGCAAAGTTGCCATAAAATGTCTCTCTCAGAGGGTTTGTCCTCAATACCCTAAAATGTTGTGGCTGCAGCACAATTTGGTTTAATCCAAACAAATTAGAGAGCCTGTCTCCATGATGGGTTTGAAGGAGAGGAGAGAAACTTTCTTCTAGACACGTCACGGGACAGTCTGAGGAGCTAAATTGAAGGTCATTCCATAGACTAGAATGGGGAGATTTGAGGCGGGTTGCAAACCGACTTGCTGGATGGCACAAGATGAAAATCTTGATTAAGGCAAAGAAAACCACTTGACGGAAGATTGGAATTCTCCAGTGAAGGCCACTCTAGAAAATTTCAGGTCTGAATGGGAGGGACTCCAATCACTTTCCCATCAAATTTGAAAAACCTTTTAACTATTAGCTCGGGCTTTGTTCAGCTTTGAATGTCTCCCAAAGCAAAAATGACCTTAAGTACCCACGGCTTGGACTCCGATAAGACTTGCAGAGCAAAAGGATGACTATAAAAAGGAGAGACTCTGTTGATTTAATTGCTAGCATTCGTCACAGCAGTGGCGCTGTCTGAATGGCATGCATTTAATTAGAATAAGAGGTGCTTTGGCTTTGGTCAATGAAACATACATAAAAGCCTGTACAAAACCTGACCTCTCGGTGAACATTGCCTTCTAAATAATGTGTTAGTTTGCAGGCAGCTGTCCCTTGCCTCACACCATTCCAAGCGGCTGAACTTTCCCACATTTGCTTCACCAATGCACAGCAGCCCCGAATTTCTTTCCATTAACCCTCATGCTCATCTGATTCTTGGCTTCTTACACTACTGCCTCAAGAATTTCTAACGTTGAGCTTCTTCTTGCTGCAGGCAGGGAATTCAGTCTTCATGGCGAGTCAGTCTTGGGCCTTTTCACCATGCTGTTCCAAGGGGTCACATGCCTGACCTGGAGAGACCGGCTTATACTGCAATGATATTCAACCCCAAAAGTGAGATTTCAAGTCATATTGCGTGACTGGGGTTGGTCTTGCAAGTCACTAAATACCTCCCACCAGTTACTAAGTACCCCAAGTCAGTCAAACCATTTGCATTAAAATGGTTCTTCAACAAAAAATACCATTGTCCTCTCAATGGTTGGGAAAAGTGGCAATTTGGATGATGTTTCATTAAAAAAAAAAACCCAAACCCTCACTGTGTTCTGATAATGTTGAAACATCATCTGGTTTTAATGTTTCCAGAGTGGAACATTTCGATTTTTCATTTTGAAATGACTTTTCAAACCAAAATTCATTTATGGGTTTGGGAGTTTTTTAAATAAAAATGATTTTAAACATTTTAAAATCCAAAGGAAATATTCGACTCGACTGGAAACAAACTTTCTTTCGGAGAACATTTTTTGATTCTATTTCGGACTGGAACATTTTTCAGAATGGCAGAATTAGCCGTGAAATGGAAAACCTGTTCCCTCCTTGGCTCTCCTCCAGTCTTGCTGAAGTGAGCGCAATGCATCTTTGCCTTCAACCTTGCCTAATCAAAATGAGTGAAAAATGCAAACGCTGCCGAGAGGCAATGTTTTGCATCCGGGCCACTCTGGGCTACATGACTACACCAGGAAACGGTGAATCGGCCACCAATGGGCACTGAGAAAGGTCCATCTCACACAGGTGATACTCAGTCTTTTGCGGGATGAGGAGAACATAACATAACATAAGAATAGCCATACTGGCTCAGACCAAAGGTCCATCCAGCCCAGTATCCTGTCTGCCAACACTGGCCAATGCTGAGTACCCCAGAGGGAGTGAACTGAACAGGTAATGATCAAGCGATCTCTCTCCTGCCATCCATCTCTACCCTCTGACAAACAGAGACTGGGGACACCATTCCTTAGCCATCCTGGCTAATAGCCGTTAATGGGCTTAACATCCATTAATTTATCTAGTTCTCTTTTAAACCCTGTTATAGTCCTAGCCTACACAACCTCCTTGGGCAAGGAGTTCCACAGGTTGACTATGCGCTATGTGAAGAACTTCCTTTGATTTGTTTTAAACCTGCTGCCCATTAATTTCATTTGGTGGTGCCTAGTTCTTATATTATGGGAACAAGTACATAATTTTTCCTTATTCACTTTCTTCACACCACTCATGATTTTATAGACCTCTGTCATATCCCCCCATAGTCTCCTCTTTTCCAAGCTGAAAAGTCCTAGTCTCTTTAATCTCTCCTCATATGGGACCTGTTCCAAACCCCTAATCATTTTAGTTGCCCTTCTCTGAACCTTTTCTAATACCAATATATCTTTTGTCGGATGAGGAGCATTGGAAATTGCCCAAACTCCCTCCAAACTTCCAGCCAATGCTGGGTGGTGTTTCCAGAAGCATGTGCACCCCCTACCTTTGAGCCCT